TATAGGCTTGATTGTAACCACAGCCACCTTAACTTGTAACTGATACCGTCCTCCCCGCAGCATAGGTGACGGTTTGCTTTCACTGTCACCCACCACCAGCAGGTCTCTGCAAAAGACCATCTCTGGCCAGGCACCAAGGAGAAAAGAGGGATGGATGCCTTTTATCCTCTTCCCTCCAGCTGATCCGCCCTTGTGGATCACACAAAGGCCACTGGGAGCGGATTCTCCTGACCTAGGATGAAAATCCATGTGGCCCACCGGGCTCCCTTTGATCACATGTAACCTATCACAGAGCGTTCAGCAAACGGGACACTCCCAATTAAACACGCACAGCCTTCTCGGCAATCCACCTCCCTCTACCTCCTGCGTGATACCCGTCTTCTTTCTAACCCACAAGCCTGCACGGCTCTGAGAAGGTCTTACAGCTGAGGAGGCCATGCTCAGCCGCTGCCGCGAATGGTGGCGTGGTCTTGCTGGCATGAACCCCATGCGGCTCTGGTGGACTGAGGCTGACGGCCTAGAAAAGCTGGTCTCACAGTTGGTCGCTTCAGGGGCTGGTTCTGGGTTGTAGCCGTGGATCACTTGGAAAAGGGTGCCCTGTTACAACTCGTCCCCTGGCTGCAAGCTTCACGGCTTAGGGAGGGTAGGAGACGATGGTGGCCAGGTGACTTCTCCCTGAGGTCCGACAGGAGCGTGCTGAGGCTGCTCGGTGGTCCTCGCTTCCGGGCTAAGTCAATCTTGCAGGCAACTTCCAGAAGAACATGCAGCTGCTAGGAGATACCAGGAAAGGCCCGGCGTGTGTGCGCGTTCATCCCGATTCCCAGAACGAAGGAAAAAGGAGGGTGGAGTTAAAAGTTGAGAGAACATGTCAGTAGCTCAAGGGCAAGAAAATACGTGGAATGCAATATTGCAACCAAATAGGAATTTCAGAGTTAACCTAAATAGGCTTTGGAAACGCGGAGGCAAGGATCACGGGTAACTTTGGCTGTAACGGTACCGTGGGATCCAGGCACCCTAGTTACCCCCGATCACAAGGCCGATTAAGCGATAGTTTTCACAGCACTTCAGAATGCCCTCTCCCTTTTTTTTCCCCCTGTTTTCCTGCAAGGTGCAAGCGTGGGATTGATGACACCGGGACAAGCAGGATGAGTTCCGTCGGCATCGGGAGCAGGAGGTGTCCCCGCAGAGAAGCCCCAAACCCCGAAGGTCACCCTGCGAGGGGTTGTTGCGGCCTGTCCCCGTGTCCGTCCGTCCCCCCCTCACCCCGCCCATCCCTGCTGCAGCGCGGCCCCCCGGCCCCGGCCC